AACCATTTGAGCTTTAAACGAAATTCGGCGACATGGTCATATTTGCGCAAACCAAATATGAACCTAATAGTCAGATTTTGAATACGCTCAAGTTTATTTAATTGACTTTCAGTTGAATCAAGATAGCTTGTGCCCGCATAATCGATAACAGAGAGGAGTAAAGATTGTGCTAACATAATTTTTTCACGCGCGCTCGGTGGTCAAATCAAATAGCGCCCGCTTCCTCAGCTTCCTGTTACACATTTCTGTCCTTTTTCACGAAACCACTCTCACTGATTGCGGGTAAGCGAGAGGAAAGATGTGATAAGACACATCAAACTATGCATCAAACATTAAATAATCCTACTATGCAGATAACGAGTCTGTTAAATTTTCAATTATTTTTATTTATTTACATTTCTTGTCTATAGCTATATATTATAGTGGAACTTTACCGAGTTGTTGCACGAGCGCCTGCGAAAGTTTCTGACAAAATAGGCCTTAAAAAGCAGCCACACATTTTTAAAATAAATAAATACATTTATCTATTCTAATGATACAGACCACACTAAGTTTGTAGAAAACATAGATCAAGTTTCGCAAGAAATGGGGAGTAAAAACGCCACTTTTCTTAAAAACTCTTCTATATACAAATATTTAAATCTTAGAGTACATTTGTCTATGTATATGTATAATTATTTTAGAGAGCAAGAATAATTAGTTTCCGAGTGTTTAAGTAAGTAATTAATTTCAAACATGGGTTGTTGCTCTCTGTGACAATTTAGGATAATACTACGATCACCTCATGATAGTTATGAATCGTCCTTTAGTCCTCTACGCAACGAATACATTAGCTACGATCGTCCTCTACGAAAGTGTCAGCTACGACCGAGTCTGCTTTTATAGCGTAGCTACTCACTGCTACTAACAATCTTATGTATGTATTGGAAACCAACAAACGCGAATTCGACAGACACATATTACACGATCAGTTGTTTTTTTTTTACTTTCAAATAACTCTTACTCTATCGTCAGAAAAATTGGTATGAATTTGGTAAATTTCCAGATTGGTAATAAAATATAAATTTATTACCAATCTGAATATATTATAAATTTTTATTAGAATTATTGCAGTCATGTGGCCATGTTATTGATGGAATTTTATTCCTGTTCGTACGTTCCTCAGTTGAGTACGTTATTTTAATCCAAATAAAACACAACGAAATAAAATTCAAAATGCAATTATTTAAAGGAATTCTATTTCCAATCCTTTCGCATAGCGCGAGTTTGAAATTGAAATATGTATGCGATAAGACCTTCTTAAGCAAAACAAAACATTTTAATTAAATAATTAAGTAAATTGATTAAATTTGGGACTTGAATTCGATATCTTAATTGCGGTAAATAATGTTGTTAAAGTAAAAATGCTTTTAGTAAATATAATTTATGATCTGTATTGAATAAAAAATATTCAACTGTCGTAAATTAGAATAGAATTAGTTATTTTAGTTTATTTATTAGAATATATATATATATATATATATATATATATATATATATATATATATATATATATATGAAGATCATTGTTCTGAGTGTTTTGAGTCTGGTTGCCTAATCGAGCTGTAACTCTTTTTTCATATTCTTCCTTCTTCCTTAACACCAGCCCATAAAAATTCTGTCTGTCGACATGTGCATCATTTCTTGATATTGGACGTCCCTTGGTACAAAGGCTTACTAAAATACTGAACGAGGAATAAGCAGTATGGTCGAATGAATAGTATCGATATATGAAGTATTCAGAATGCATAGTTTCTGTAATCAATGGTACATTCACGGCTTTTGACTGCGAGCGTAGAGATATGCACAGCATTGATCGTAAAGGTCTTGCAAGTTCCAACTAGGCGCTTGGGGAATTCGATTTAATGGTTTGAAAAGTCTTGTTAAGAGTACAAATTCAACGTTATAAAACATAGTTATTAGTGGTAGCTACCTTTAAATATAATTAACACGAACGTACGTGATCTCAAATATCGGTAAAACTATTAAAAAGTACTGTTTTTCGCGAGTGGTATCATATACTACCATAAAATGTAGTATATGTAGTCTGTGACTCTCTAGGAAGAAAGTTAAATAGAGTTAACTCTAGGGGGCTATAAAGGTACTGGTACAGATAAACATATATACACATGAAAACATAACTCTTCTTCTAAGACAGTCTACCTGACTAAATTTAAAAGGAAAAGAATGTCCACAGAGAGTAAACAAATTACAATATAATGTAACCGTGCCATAATAATTTTACTGGTCCCGAGAAGCTCACTAGAGTAGAGACATTTTCAAAGTTAGGTATATTTTCTATTCTGATTTTTCTTTTACACTTTATTTTAATTCGTTCTTATGCATAACAATAGAAAAAATCCTACGCATTTGTTGTCATTCTTTATTTAGAAATAACAAATAAAACCTATTTGTATATGTTTTTACACAAGTTTTTTTTACACCCAAGTTATTGTTTATTATAAACACGGTCATTGTATAAAAGCAAGAAAAATTATAAACTCATGAGTACTGCTACAACGTGACAGTGGAGTGACGGCCGGGTGGGACATGCAGGAAGTCGATGGATACAGGTGACTCAGGAACGTGCTTTCTGGCATTCCTTGGGGGAGGCCTAGTTAGCGGAGAGGCTAGTTCAGCAGTAAACTTGTGAAGGGCTGTAATCAATGACCGAATGAATAAATATATGAATGAATAAATTAATAATTGTCACAATGTATATTAGAAAATAATAAGACAAGTAATAGCTCTAATTTAATAATATATAGAATTGCAGTCATGTATCCTGTTTAGGCCAATGCCGTAATTTATAATAATACATTTTAAACAATTTAATAATTAAGACCAATATATTAGTATGTTTTGTCATACAGTAAAGGCTCTCTATACCTTCAAAACGGAACAGCACTGTAGGTATATTTGGTTGCTCATCAAGACTAAGAGTATTATGTGCAGTATCTAAACCAAAGATGCCATGATTTTTCTTCCAATTACAAAAAAGTGAAAGAGAGAAAACGAGAGAAAGAAAGAGAAAGAGAGAGAGATATGTTGCATACACACTCTATAACTATACCGTTTACTTTTCAGTAAACCGAAAAGTGTGGATGATAAAACTCTTAATCTTTAAGACTTTAAACAAACTAATTGGATATGTGTTTATCGGGTTTTAGGCCCATACAATTAAATTTCTAAGCATCAACCGTCAACAGATTGAAAAAACTGTTATTTAATCACATGTTACTTTAACCTGGGGCCGTAAGTACACTTAAATAATCGTTATTTATATCTTTATTCATCTTAGATTTTTGTTCAGAGCTGTCACGAAAAAATTCCTTGGATAATTTTATTTTTAACCGAATTAAAAAACGAGAAGGATCTATATTTGACGAGTATGTTTTTATGTAGATTTACCGATTACGTTTTACGTTACGTTTGTTTCCACATAAAAATTTTGATCAGATTCTTTTTATATTAAAGGGGTATAACTTCAGGGGTGGTTTCATATAAATTTGTAAAAAAATGTAATTATTTATAACTTCATTTTTGTGAACATGATTCATAAAATTGAATATCAAAGAAGATGATAAGATTGATTGTTTTGATTTGATTCTTGCGTATTTTTATATTTAACATGTTGTTCGAATGTATATTTGTAAAATCTTTTTCATACCATGTTTTAAGCAAATAAATATATTATTATTATTATGTGTGGGGTATCTATATAGTTTTCTCATCTGGTTGGGATGTATAAATATATAATTATAAACGAAAATGAAAAGACAAATATACAAAAATATCAATAAAATAAAATAAATACGAAAATACATAAATAAATAAAAGCCCAACCAGATGGAAGCCCCCGGCAGGGGAGACCAAACGGCCGAGGGTTAGGGGGAAAGGGAAAGAAACCGGCGGACGATGCGGGCGGTATCGAGGAGCACCGCCTTCTGCATTTGAGCCTGGAGCGGTCCGCCACGTAGTCCCAGCCGCCTCAGATGACCCGAGAGGCTGACTGGGATTAGCCCGTTTGCAGAGACGACTACAGGAATAATTTCGGTCGGCAGACCACCCCACATGACGGTCACCTCGTGAGCCAGGTCCAGATATTTTGTTTGCTTATCTGTTTCGGCTTTCACGAGGTTCTCGTCACACGGAACGGTAATGTCGACCAAAAATATCCTTGACTGTGCCCGGTCCATCAGCACAATATCAGGCTTATTCGCAAGAATAGTCCTGTCTGTGATGATGGCCCGGTCCCAATAGAGCCTGGCGCGATCATTTTCGAGCACGGCTTCCGGCAAGTACTTGTAATACGGCAACTTCCGATCCACGAAACCGTATTTCAGAGCGAGCTCCTGGTGTAGAATTCTGGCTACTAGGTTATTATTATTATTATTAAAGGCGCGCGAGTGACAGTGTTTTGATTTTATTATAATTTGATAAAATTTATACACATGCTTACAGTATTTGTTTCAATTTTCAGATTTATGAAGGATATCTGATATACAAGTGATTTTTAAAGTGGGTAAACAATTTCAAATTCCGAGGACACTTTGAAACACTTACATTTTTATAATACATTTAGAATTTGTATCTAGGAATTTTCTTCGTACTAAGTAAATGTTCGCATGTTATTTTGCCGTTAACAAAACAATTTAAGAGGTATAAAGAAATTCAAATTCTAATGTTCGCAATAATAATTCGCTCAAAGAATTACAGCGCGGACAAAAAGTTTTCACTATTAACATTTTTTAAAGAATTCTTATTCTGTGTTTACCTTTATTTAAGTGTTTGCGTAGTATAAATTATTGTTTGATTTTTTTCCAAACCTGGAAATCTTTTTAGAATTTTGGATTGAAACATTATTGATTAGATTATAAAAAAATATTTCAGTACCTACCTCTTAACATGAGACTGTTTTATATTCTAAAAATCTTTACTGTAGACAAAGTAATGCTTACCTGTAGGCGAGCATCAGTGCTGACTGTGTAGACTCCTCGGCACTCAATTACGTCGTCAGGCTTGTCGGCAGCGGGCGAGCGCCGCCAGCACGCTGCGCACACTGCAACCAGCACCCCGCATAGGGTCGCACTGCCAAACAAGATTACATGTTATAATATTTAGACTAACTGTAATAATAAATAGTCATGTCTTCCTTGCCGAATTTCGGTCTCGGTGGCCAGCCACAACGGAGACTAGCCATCTGCGCGAGACGGTATTATAGTGTCCTAATGTATGCGCCGGCACGGGTGCACCCTCTATTTTCTCACTCGCATAGTCCGATGGATATGGCGATGGAGCCGCGGTAGCTCAGATGGTTTAACGCTCGCTGTAAATATAAAAGAACGCGAGTAACCCGGGTTCGATCCCCGCTGGCACCAATGAAATTGTTAATTCAATTTTAAGTGCTGCTTTACCACGTGCTCGGCGGTGAAGGAAAACATCGTGAGGAAACCTGCATGGCTGAGGAATATGGAAAAAATATTTAGAAGACATGTGAAGTTCGCCAACACGCATTGGGGCAGCGCGGCGGACACTGTGCCCAGCAGTGGGCGTATATAGGCTTTACTTTACTTTATAGTCCGATGGGCCGGTAATCCGACATGATCGGATAGAGATTAGGCGCAGGACCTACCGCTTTATGAGCTTTCCAAAGCACGAGGGTGAAAACACCGCCAACTTCCTGACTCCGGGCTACTACTGAGAATTTCTTGAGAAATAAACCCAGTAACTGATACACGTGATGAGCAGCTGCGTTTACGTCCTCTTACTGGACCAAGGAGGCAATCATAGAGTAACTGTACAAAGTCCTATAACATACATTTTTAAATACGAAAATACAATTAAAATCTATTTGTAATGAATTAAAAGTACTAAAACAAGTAGTATAACATAGTAAATAAACAGAAACAAGTATTATATTGAAATTTATAATGATTATTATTGAAAATAAATGTACGACAAAATCAAGGTTCGATTATTTTTAGAAACGACACGACACGCGGAGCAAGCGCGCGATGTTAATCATTTTTAGCTGGGGTCTGCGGGGATAAACCGAATATCGCCTACGGGTAGTAATGTGTTCCATGCACGGTACTATAAGACAACTGACACTGCGGTTGGCGATCTGCCTGCTCACGTGGCGATTACGACAAATTCTTCCTTCTGTGAGAGAGGCCTATTCAATATAAAACTTGTACTAAGTAAAGATTACAAAGACAATACTCTATAACTTAACAGTCATTAGTTGTAGGTTTCATTCTCAATCCATTTTAAATTTACAAATTTCTCAATGCTCGTTATAATTTATATTTGAAATAAAATGAAAAATCTCTAATGAGTGTTATATGATTTGTTTATAGACTAAGGGTGACAAACGAGCACACAGTCCACTTGATGGTAAGTGGATGCGTTGTTCCATGGATATCTACATTTAATCTCGATTAAGAATTAAAATGACGATGGGTTATCACCCCTGAGGACTAAGATGGAATGCCTCAATTCCAGTAAAACGGTTTTCCGGTTCTCTACACTCACCGTACGAAACACAGCAGCATTAAGCTGCTATTTTACGTTGGTATTCTGTGAGAGCGTGGTCCTTCCCCGGTCGAGCCTATTCATTCGTGCTACAACTATAATATAGCTGCAGCGTGGCTCTATCACACAATAAAATTACACAATATTACCTAATAGTAAACCTATTGTGCTTTACGTGTATGATTTCATTATTTTTCAATAAGTTCCATAATATACGATACAGATATGACGTCATAATACAATGTTCTCGACGGTATATTGCTCGTAAACTTTTATATCTTTCTTCCTTTCTTTAATAATAGAGTAACTTAGAATCATCACTAGCAAACTATTAGAGGATGTAGTTTTACCTGATATATCTTACCACTAAAAGTTTGTATCTCTTTGCTTGTTTTTTATTTAAATCGTCTTGTAGTGAAAGGGTCTCGAGTAGCAATTTCGTACTGGCAAGCGCAGTGTTGTACCCCTACTGGATGGAGTAATGACCAGATGAAACACGTATGTCGATATATGAAGGTAGAGCAGGACCGTTGTTTGTGATAATTTATGTGAGAGACGTTCAGCAGTGTATGAGCTGTAGTGGTCGTATAATATATATATATATATATATATATATATATATATATATATATAAGTAAAGTAAAGTTACAGCCTATATACGTCCCACTGCTGGGCACAGGCCTCCTCTCACTTCTGAGGGTTTTAAGGCAAGGAAGTGTCCGCCGCGCTGCCCCAATGCGTGTTGGCGAAATATATTTTTTTCTTATTCCTCAGACATGCAGGGAAACCTGTCACGATGTTTTACTTCACCGCCGAGCACATGGTAAATCAGCACTTAAAATTGCAATTAACAATTTCATTGGTGCCGGCGGGGATCGAACCCAGGTTACTCGCGTTCTGTTATATTTACAGCGAGTGTTATCCATCTGAGCTACCACGGCTCATATATATATATATATATATATATATATATATATATATATATATATATAGACCAGTGACGGGCAACAGCGTAAACTCCGTCACTTCGTCTGCCGAGCTATTAAGGTAAATTCTCCCTTCCTAATCCCATATGGACTGTGCCCGTACAGCGAAGATGGAATATTTAAAATATTCAATTTACTTCCTATTACCGTCGGCTAGGTCGTGAAATGCATTGTTTTATTATCTAAAGGTTTTAGTAATTTATATTCAAGGTAGGCACGTATTTTTCAATTTATCTAGTAAAATACTTCTTATATTTGAATCGTTTGCTATGTTACACTATACATATTTAAAGCGTAAGTAGCTCATGAGCTAAGTTTACATTTCTAGTACGCGAATATTCAGAGTGCAATCTTCGATGCTAGCGGATAAATTAAAACAAAATCATAGGAATTATAAAAAATCTACATGTCTAAAATAAAACGTTGAAGACAATTTATAGGTTACACTGCGCCATGATAAACGCGATAATCCACAAGGATATTTGTAAAACGCTAATATCGCTTAATTTAGCTCAGAATAGGGCTGCCAAAAAGGGTTAAACGCTTTCCATTGCTCTATCAAAATGTGAGGGCTAGTTTCTGCCCTAGAAAGTTTATATTCAACACACCGAATATGCTGAAATACTATAAAATAATACCTCAGCTGTTGTATTCTTGTACCTATTTGAATAAAAATATCTTGAACTAAACACCTTAAGCCAAAATTCTTTATTTTTACCTTCCTAATTAATCTAATTACGTTTCACTTCTTTAGTTTTGTACATCACTATATGTATATCTGGATGCTTGGCGATCCACCACTGTACGTTTCACTAGGAGTTTTCTTCCGCGTATAACATCTCTTTGGAATAGTTTACCACCGGCGATTTTTCCAGATCGATACGATCTAGAGTCCTTTAAGAGAAGATTATACGTGGTAGAGCCATGCTGCAGTTATATTAGTAGTATAGTTGTAGCACGAATGGGTCGGCTCGACCGGGGAAGGACCACGCTCTCACAGAATACCAGCGTGAAATAGTAGCTTAATGCTGCTGTATTTCGTATGGTGAGTGTAGAGCACCGGAGACCCTTTTTACTGGAAACGAGGCATTCCATCTTAGTCCTCACGGGTGACAACGCATCTGCATTTTGATTCGTAATCGAGGATAGATGTAGATGTCTATGGGCCACAGCAACCACTTACCATCAGGTGGACTGTGTGCTCGTTTGTCACCCTATCCTATAAAAAAAAAAGAAGAGCTAACTCCTTGTTAAAAGGCCGGCAACGCACCTGCAATAACCGTTTGCTCGTTTACACCCTCTCCTATAAAAAAATTATACATCCCTTTCTATTCTAAGTATATCAGTTTTCTACACAAAGATTGCCTGAAATCACTTTCAGATTAATATCAGTATAACAACATATATTACTTATAATGTAAATAATGTGTACTAAGTAATTAAATAATCGTAAACGAATGTTTTTTTTAAATAACTTTCGTATTACTAAATCACCCGATTTCCCTTGACGGTTGCCTCCCACTCATTTCAAATAAAAAGGTGCTAACGCTTGCCTAGACGAGACACTTCCGCCAGAATATAAACTTAGCTTGTAACTTGCTTGCGTCGCGTTCCTATATATTAACTGTGGTCGCGTGTTATACCACTTGAAGTATTTAAATGTCACCTGTTTTGGTACGTGCGTGATTAATAACGCTCAAAATTATTCGTATATATTTAGGTTGTTCATTGCTATTGTTCTATTTACTGGAGTAGGTTTCGCAGCCAAACGCCTAACCACTTCACCGAGGCGGTTTTTGTATTGTTAACAATATAATATGTATCAATTAAGCACTGGTGTAATGTTAAAAAATATTACAGGTATAATTGTAACTATTGTAAGGGGTAGTGAGAAAAAGTAGATAATATGTATAATCTTTTGTTTTAAACAATTTCATAGAGAAAATAAATGAAAATCGAAAAGATTTTTTTTAAATAAAAGTCAACAGCCAGCAATATAATACATTAATGTCATTGCAATAGTAAACACAGTTTTATTTAATTCGAAATTCTTAGAAAAATATAGTATGAAAATTGTATTTATAGGGCTTAATAGAATTATTCCTACATAATGAATAACAATCACCTGGAGTTGCGGTGATCGCTGACAATCTATTTTTAAAATCATAATTTTTATCATCTATTATAATTAAATACTATTAAAATTAAATTAGAATGGAATAAAATAGTTTTAATTCAAAATCAATTACAAATAATACTTATTGAAAGTGAGTTTTTAAAAAAAAATTAAGTAAAATATATAATGCAATTTTCACCACGTTTTTATTAATTCGCTTACGTGTATGGTCGGGTCGAATCTAGTAATTTAATTTAACTAACTTCTAGATACGTGTTATTTTAATTATAGCTCAGAATCGGATGACAATGTAAGAATATGAATAAAGAAGCCATTTTAAACTTTTAATAGAGATTTTTTTTTAATTATTATTAGTCTATTGGTCCGTGGGGTCCACGTGCGCTGAAGTTCCTAAAGGAACTGTATCCGCGACTTGTAGTCGCTGCAGGGCT